TTACACACAATGACTATAACATTCTTTATTCCTTTTTATTATGTAAAACGAAAATTACACACAATGACTATAACATTTCTTTTTCTATTTCTATTATGAAACGAAAATTACACACAATGACTATAACATTCTTTATTTCTTTTTCTATTTCTAATATGTAAACGAAGATTACACAACAATGACTATAACATTCTTTATTTCTTTATCTATTATTTAAACAAAATTACACAACAATGACTATACATACATTTTTATTTATTTTTCTATTTATATAAACCGAATCTTAAATTAACGAGCCGAAGCCAAACTGAAACCCGTTAATATTTCGATTTATAGATAATTTGATAGTAAACACCCAATAAAATTATTCTTCTCAATTCTTTTACTATTGTTCAAAACACTATGGCATCGGAACTTCGCAGTCGAATGTTGACGGATCCTTATTCCAAGGCACCAGCAATTTTATTAATTGGTAAAACAGGTGGGAAACTTACGTTCAAAATCCAAAGACAAAACTCGTATTAAAAATTATTTAATTAGGCGCGGGTAAAAGCACGTTTGCAAATCTGATCTTTGAAGAAGAAGGAAAGTTTTTAACATCGGATAGTTCGGTAAGAAACTGCAGTATATTGATTTCCCATTGTTCGATATTGATAGTCGATATTTTAGGCTTCTTGTACTCAGATTTGTCAAAGTGCTCTAATCAGCCTGGATGATAAAGAATATAATGTTGTCGATACTCCAGGTCTTTTTGATACACAGAGACCTGTCGATGATATCTTGGATGAAATTGCACAATCAATTGTCCAGTGCAGTAATGGTATCGTAGCGATTTTGTACGTTATAGGTAAGCGCTTTTAAATAAGTAAAATATTCTGAAATCGAAAGTTTTTTTTACGAACAACTTGTTGACAAAATTTTCAAGCGTGGGACAGATATACATCTATACAACATTATACAACTGAAAAAATTATGGAATTCCTTGGTGAAGAAGAATCTTACCGCCATTTAATTATAATTTTTACCAAGTGTAACAAAAAACAAACTGAAGACCGATGTAAATTGGAAAAAGATTTCAGTGATAATAAAAACCTTAAAATGTTTATGAATAAAGTCAGCAACCGTTGGATCGTCTCGCCAAATTTGGAAATTTTTAGCGATCCCCACAATCAAATTGTGAAAGGACATATGGATAACCTAAAGAATTATATTAAGTTAATGCCAGAGCCTTATACTACAACTTCATTTGAAAATGTTAGAATTTCACGTGAGAAAAAATTACAAGAGATTGAAGCACGTTCTAAAGAACTACGCGAGGAAGATAAATCAAGGATAGACCGCGAAAAAAGAAAAGCTGGAACGGATACAGCCAAGGCTGAAATTAAGAAGCGGGGCGAAACATGTTTTTCTCTGTGCTCCAAGGTTATTCTTGTAGATAGCAAAAGAATCGAAATGTCGCAATTGAGCATCGGTGATACAGTTTGTTGTGGTGAAGAAAATGGCGAATTGATTTTTAGCGAAATATATGCAATTGTTCATGCCGATAATCAGACCATAACTCAATATCAACGGATCAATTATTTAAAGGCAGATGGCACAGAAGGTAATAAATAAATTTAACATTCTGTTATTTATCTAAACGCCCTCTAATAATGTGTCCTCTTATAGGAATTCTGCGTCTCACTCCAAAACACCACCTATTCAATTCCCAGGGAAAAACAATTTTCGCTGAAGATGTCCGGGCTTCCGTAACCGAACTTTTACTTTTCGATGGCAAGAAACTTACTCCTGTGATTCCACATCGCGTTACAAAGGTATTTTTTATTTATTTTATTTTATTTTTTTTTTTATAGAATCATTCATTTATTTTTTACTTTGATCAATTTAAGGAATGGGGATTCGGCTACATTGCTCCATTTACACAAAATGGCAAGATTGTTGTTGATGAAATACTTTGCTCTTGTTACGCTGTTGCTCCGCCTTATCAAGATATTATCAATTTCGTAACAATTCCTTTTCGACTCTACTCGTGGGTTATGCCTATCGTTGTTTGTAAAAAAGAAATTCATCCCTATCTCGTATTTTTGAAACGCGGTCAATGGATTCTTGAACAAATAGATTACTTTAACACAATGATTAAAGGATCATATTGAATCATTTTTTAGTTTCATCTCATTAGATAATGTATAAATATATATCAACTATTTCTTTTTGTTTTAAGTGATCTTTAATTTTTGTGTACGACCGATTCAGTTGACGCACCATATACGATACGATATTCGATATATATGATTTGTCATGAATAATATATTTGCATTGTTTTAAGTTTCAATTTGAGATTTTTATTTGCATTTTAGTTTTTGATGTTATTAGATTAAAATGCATTAAGCTCTTAATTTTAGTTAAAATTTTCTCGGAACCTGATTTTCCTAGAAATCCTCCCAAATTGGAAATATATGCAAAACGAAATGTCTCTATATTATTTTACACGACACCTGATTTCATATGACAAAATTTATAAATGAGGTCCTGCTAAGCCACTGTAAATTCGGTGTAACAAATTAAATATAAATGGTGATTTTTATTGTTAGTCCGGACTTAACAATGGTTTCGAAACTGTTTCCTAGTAATAGTAGGGGTATTCAAAATTGGTTGATGCGGATTTTGATGCAAATTTCAAGAAATATGATTGGCTGAAATTTATATCTGATTTTGCATCAAATGCATCAGTAAATTTTTCACGGCCCAAGTAGCCAATCACAAAATGTTTACTTAATCAATTCGAAATATGCATCGATTTTATGCACTAAAAAAATAATAATTGATTGGTTAATCACAAGTGCATCAATCAACCAATTTTGAATACCCCTAGTATAATACTAGGGAATGGTTTCGGAAACCATTGTTAACATGTGGCTAGTATATGAAAAGTCCTTCGCTTCGCTCCGGACTAATAAGATAGATTAAAGAAAAAATTAAAAAAAAAGAGAGAGCGTAGACACAAAATCAATACGGGCATGCCATAACCCAAGGCCAGATAAGCCAGTTCTCGAAGAAAACCAGAACTAAGATAAGGAAAATTAAAATTTAATACTTTTCTGTTTAAGTAAATTGTCTAAGGCTCGCCATGATACCTGAACCTGTTCTAAACGATGAGCCAAGTCTTTGTTTTGGCTTTTATATCCTTCTAAATTCTTATTGGAAGTCTCTAACTTATTTCGAACAGCATTATATTTTCATACCATTTATTTAACTCTGAAGGAAGACCGGAAAGTCTCCAAATCCTCAACTAAAAACTGAATTTCATTTTCTAATTCAACAATTAAAGAAATAGCAGTAGATAACTGTTTTCTAAGTTTTGAGCTTCATCCCTTGTTTGCAACTTAAGATTCTAAGTTTCGAATATGCTCGGGCAAAAATCATCGATGAATACAGCCCATTGTAAAAAAAAAAAAAAACGTGAGAAAAACGAAACACCAATAGAAATTGCAGATTAATAGTCTAAAAATATGTTACATAAATTTCCTTTTTTGAAAAAAATATAAAATCACGTGATACGTATTTGTACGCTTCTGACTTTAATAACGGTTTCCGTTTTCTAAAATCAATTCATTTTCATTTTTTTTGTTTGGAATCTCATATTTCAATTATAATTTTGATATTTTAATTTCAATTAATAAAATTTTACATTCTCACTTTATTTCAATAATTGTAATTAAGTTTATCGTGTTATCAATAGTATTTAACAAATAAAACCAAACCATATGATACTATAATAAAGTTAGTAATAAACAATTTTCTTATTATTAAAGATAATTGGAATTTTCTTCCTTAGACCCATCGTTACGAAATTTTATAATTTTTTAGTTTCAATCCAATAGAAAACTTTGCAGATTTGATGTGGTTTCGAGGATTCATTTCTAGCCCTACCTTCAGCAATGTTTTTGAAATGGATTTCTCAGTTAGGACTACTCGAGCACGATCCTGGTATGGTGTATTCTATAAATTCTGACAATTTTTACCTTAAATTAAAATTTTGTTGAATCTGCAAACTTTTAGATACCAATGTTCTTGCAAAATTTCCGTTAAATGTTAGAAAAATACTAATATCAGAAATAACACAAACGCTGTTATCCGCACATGATCCAAATCTTTTATCATCGACAACACATGTAAAATGGGTCATGGAGGCAGTTGGTCAGGGATTTGCATTACCATTGGAAGAGATGGCGATAACATCAAATTCTAAAGAACTTTATTCACAATGGTTATTTGAACCTAATTTTAGACCTGCTGCGATTAGAAACGCGACGGGACGTCAAGAGGAACAAGAGTTCTGGCAGGTTTGGAATTTATATATTAAATAAATGAATATCGCATTATTAGAATAATTAATTGATGAGAAAAAATTTTTTATAGACAATTTTTCATCATTATTCACTGTTGTATCAACCTCGTCTTCCTAGTTCAAGTGTGTCATCCGTATCATCGACACCGACAACACCAGGATTTCCTGCTTCAGCAAATCTATCATCATCAAATTTCACGGTTTTGCAGCGTCATATTGAATTATGTAAAGGTGTTTTGATCGTGTTAACTATGGCTGGCCGTACATTAGGCTCTCAATTTTCAGAAGAAACTTGGCTTGTACTTTTAAAAGTAGTTTTAGGAATCACGGATGGTTTATTACGAGAACCATTAGGAACAACAATTCCAGAGGGAAATCTTGAGAAAAAAACAGCTGCTAACATGGCAGATGAATTATGTGAACATTTATTGAGAGTACTTTTCGAATTATGGTTAAGATCAAAAATTCGAAATGTTGAAATGTGGGACATATTTAAAAGGTGCTTTAATAAATGGACTCACAGACAACCGCCATTATCACAATGGGATGCAGCAACTCTAGCTCTAACACAACGAGTTATAAGATTATTATATGGACCAAAGGGAGGTGCAGACATGGTGAATATTTCAGTGGGTGGCTATAATGTGGGATTGGACCTTCCAACAGATTTTGTATACTTTGCTTGGTATAGGATGGTTTATTTAATAAGTAATCCATGCATATTACCATCAGCAAATTTTACTTTAGCACTTTCTGGAATTGGAAAAATTATTGAATCCTTTCAAAAAGTTGGACAAACATATGATCAGAAATCTGCTCAAAACGACGCTGAAGGTTCTCTTATGTCAATACCTGATGGTAATACATTATTGCGCATGTTTGGATCTTGGTTATTTCAGGCATGCTCAATAAATCGTGCAGACTCGGATGTTAAACAAGGGAGAGCAGAAGCTTATGGTATTCTCTGTAAAATATTTTGTCTACCTCAACGTAGAGAAAAGTTCTTGAGACATTATATTACCCAATTCTATCGAGCTTTGACGGAAGGTTTACGTACAGATAGCTGCTTACCGGTTATTTTGACGAACACAACTTCACTTTTTGCTACAGAACTTGAGGGTGTCAGAATGATGGTTCCTGATTTTGTTGTTGGCATTAAAATGATTTTACCAAGGTTGGCACCTGGCTTTGAAACCGATATGCCTTTGGATGAGTTGAGACTTGCGGCAATAAAAGTTGCAAGTACGATTATGTGTTTGCCTAATCACTTTGAAAAAGTTTCTTTAAGGGAAAACTGGAATGTGGGGTTACATCATAACAGAGATAAGCTCGTTAATAATGACCCTGACGAGATTGTTATCAATGAACTTGTAAGTTGTGTTATTCTATTTATAGGAAAATTTCGATTATACTGACACTTCCTTAAATTATATTTTTATGAGAACAGATACGAGTTTTATATTCTGAAGAAGATGACACAAATGATAAGAATTTGACAGAACCATTTACAACCGTAAGCCGATTAATTATATGCATAATTTGTAATTAATTATAAAATTTTCTAAATAATACATTCTCCCCTTTTTTATTCCAGCTTAAATTTTATATACTTGAGTTACTTTTGACATCTCTCAAAACCGAGAAATCATCTTATAATCTCAGATATCTTCTTCACTTAATTAATGTATATGTGGCAGAGGATGTCGCATTTTGCCCAGGTTTGGTTGGACTTGTAGTAAAATCAATTCAAGAAAAGGTTATATATTTATGCATTTTTCTTTTTTTTTAAAAAACAATAACTTTTATTTACCCTTGTTATTTTCATATAAAAGATACTTACTATGAATCTTCCATGGGATGTTACCTTATATGCTTTTGATGTATTAAAAGATTTTGTGAGTTTGTATGAATATGTTCAGAGGGATAGTAAGGTAAAACAATTTTGTAACAGTATTATTATGTTTGTAACATAATTTAATGTATCAAATGTTGATATTTAATAGAACTGTGCAAGAGAATTAGTTCTTGCTTTCTCGCGTTATATTGACATGATGCTCTCGGGAAGTGGTGGAGGATTAGTAAGTAGGACGACTTCATAAAAAAAAATTTTTTTTTAGTTCTTTTAAAACAACCATCTAAATTTATCACGTGTATCTTTAGCCTGTGACGTATCATCTAGTTGAACGTGCATATGACTGTATGATGCGCTGGATTCTTATTGGACAATGGATAGTCGGTGACCGTGATTGTCACGAAGCTGTCATAGCGACAATCAGTCGAGGAATTTCCATAACTCCTAATAATGATGATGAATCTTCACAGTCAAATTCTCCGACTGATAAGAAAAAGAATCGTAGAGATACAGCTCCAAATAAGCTATTTTCTCCTCGAGCAAATAAGAACATCGTCACTAATAATGAAAATACTTCACATAATGGCCAAAATCGATATGGAAAGAAAGGTGAAGTTGCTGTAAAGATTGCTGCCGAAATAGCAATGGCACAATTCGTCAATCACCTTGGAAACTTCCCCGCATGGGGTGATAATATAGGTCCAAGCAGGATATCCACTCTGTTTAATGATGATTTGGTATTGGCAAGATCACAAATTTCTGATGCTAGAGATTTTGATGGATTATCAATACCTGAACTAGTTAGGTACTTTTTAATTGATGGTAGGGTTTTGGTTGGATTTGTGGAAGTTCCTAAGCATCCTGTATGGACCGCTGGGGGGGACACAAGGACGCCAGGTTCTCCAGGATCACCTGATACATATTCTACACCAACTGCCACAGAAACTCCAGCATCACCTGTTTCTCCAGGCACACCCAGAGCATCGATGCCACAATCTTACCTTCCAGACAAGTCAAATGAGGCTGATTCTAACCCTTCAGTAATTATAGTCATGCGTGATAGTACGGGGAAATACTCTTGGACTGCTCGTATGGTTTATAAAGTTCAGACTGATGATGATCATGATCAAAAGAATTCATCATCAAGTACAATAGATAAAGACAATTATGATAGGTTATTACAGTCAACTTTACCATCCGTTCCATTTCCTCATACAGATACCACACAACAGACTTACCAGGATAATGATTTTCGTGTAAATGTTCCTCGTATCTTAAGTTTTAATGAACATCAAATACCAAAAGTTGACAAAATATTTGAAGAAGGAAGTGATAGTTGGAGAGCTTATAATGCTGTCAAAAAACTTACACAGAGACAAAAAGAGGAAGAAGAACGAGCATTGGAAGAAAAACAACGTGTAAAAACAAGTCATCAAAGGTAACAGATTGATTTCTTTTTTTATGGATATGATGTTTTCTAGTTTTGTTCTAATATCTACTTTACAAAATCGTGATTATATTTTAAACTATCTTAAATTTTAAGTTATAAAGCGATTCCTGCCGGATCTAATACGAACTTGGAAAGGTATTTTATTAATAACTGAATTAAAATTGTTATAATATTTGGAATTATTTCATTTATATTTATGTAAACTCAATCTAAATTATAAAACCCAACTTAGTCCGCAAGCATTTCGTTTATTCATGTCACAAATAGGATTGTTGTCTTTAGAAAATCGACATCGTATGATTCCATTACGGATTTCAGAAAAGCTTGTCAAGGATTTGGAAAAATTAGATCAGTTAAACGAGTATGTCGATGAATTCATTTAATAAATACTTTTAATCGTTTATTAACTTATCGCTTTTGTTATCAATAAAATTCATATAATAGACGGGATTGTGTTAGTGCTTCTGTATATTATGTTCGATCAGGAGCGGAAGAATATGATCATATTATAAACCCTCCTGCAATAAGTGAGGATTTTGAAAAGTTTTTGAATAGTTTAGGATGGCCGGTAATTAATACTGTGATTTTTTAATATAAATTAAATGATACGTGAATTTATACTTCATCATTTAAAAACTTTTTAGGTTTCTCTGGATGCACATTCCGGATATCAAGCAAAGCTTAGTTCAGCTTTTTGTAAAACAGCACCATATTTTGCTGATAGAACCGTTGAAGTAATTTTTAATGTTCCTTATTTAATACATACACAGTCACCTGATTCATCAATCGAATCTTTATCGAACATAATTAAAAGTATAACGGTAGATGATTTAGTATGTATTGCATGGGTTGAAGACATAATATCTATGGATGATCTACCTCAAAAGATAGGACAATCTGTTTTAGTATATATATTTGTTCATCCATTACAAAATGCAACTGGGTTATATTGGATAAGGATTGTTACTCCTACACTTGCATATCAAGGTGGTTTAAACGAAAAGAAAGGAGGAAAAGGCAGAGTTAGCTGGAGTGCTGATTCCACAAAATCAGTGGAAAATCCTTTGGTAAGTTAAATATCGTTAAAGAGGATTGATCTGGGAACAATTCTCACTTTTTTTTTTATTTTTAGTTATTTGGTCCATTGGTTGATGGTATGATTGTAAGCAGGCATACTTTGGGGCTACTTGTAAGAAATACGACGATATCTGCACATGAATCGTGCAAAAATTTCATGGAAACACATAGTAGATCGTATGTGTAATACGTATAATAACAATAATATTTTGATTATAATTATTAATCTGACAATCTTTAATTAATAATCATAAAATTTTCTTTTTTTAGATATGCAATGAGAAGACAATTTATTGAAGAAATGTATCATAGATATAAAAGTAGTCTTTCTATTTCAGAGTAAGTATATGTAATTTATATATTTTGTTTATAATGAAATAACATTATTTATTATATTATTAACTGATTTATTACTATTTCCAATTAGTTTTTATTCAGAAATATTTTTAACTTAGCAAGTATTTAAATATTATAATTCTAAAATTAACCAAAAGAATAATAACCGGTTCTGATTTTTTTGGGTTTACCCTCATGATTATAATCATGTTCCTTTTATCTCAAAATCAAATCGAACCGGTGAGTGCTCCCGTAATATTTAAATTTTTATAAAAAAAAAAAAATTTAATAAATTAATTTTGTATATAATTCAAATCTCGTGAAAAAAAAAAAATTATTTATTAAAAAAAAAAAAAATTCTTTAACTATTTATAATTGATTAAATAAAAAGATTAGGCACTATATTATAGTTTTTTCAAGCTTCTTTATATCATCAAATAAATCTAATAAAGTAGCGGAAGACCATGCTTGTGTAGGACATGAATGATGGCATTCTGCTCCATTTGCATTAGTAAGTTCAGGTAATCCGGCAAATGGAGTTGTTTCAATTATTTTACGATGTGGTAAAAGATGTTGCGTTATATCATGAATTGTTTCATGTGGCTATTTTTATAAATTTTAAGACAAAAAAAAAAGGTTATAAATTTAAAAAAACAAAAATTACTTTCAAACAATAATATTCAAACTCACACTTTCTTTTCCTTTTCCAACTCGAATGTCAAAGTATAGGTAAGCACGAAGGAAATATCCGGTACACCATAACCACTCCTATAAAAAAAAAAAATAATCATCATGATAAATTATCAAGAATCAGAAACTATTAATAATCAAAAAACCATAGAAAGACACTTACAGGTCCCTGATGATAATTCCATCCTTTAGCAATTGATTTATCGTCACCATCATTATTGTTATCATAGAACCCACGATATGCCCAATCTTTAGGATCCAATGTACGCATGCCCAATGGACCAGCAAGCACTTCACGTGCAATATTCAAGGCTTGTAATGCATGGTGCTGATCAAATAATTCAGGTGCCTAATTTTAAGTTATAAAACAAAACTAAATTAGGTAAAAATAAAAAAAAAATGAAAATTAAAGATTGTGATTTGTAAAAGTTACTACTTACCACTACAAGAGCGATAGGGAAATTTGGTCGTAATTGATAATCTTCATATTCTTTTGAAGCCTTATATAAATCTTTATATATTCCTCTACGGTTTATCAATTTTGTGTTCAATTTATACTTTGAATCATCGGCAGGATCTAAATTAAGGTGAAATGATTAATAATAAAAAAAAAATTTAATCTCGTTATCCAACCTAAACTTACCAATGGGAATGTAAAAACATTTTTCAAATGACTTTTGGATTAAATCATTCCATTCGGCAAATGTGACAAATTTCTTGGATTGATCTTCAACATAAATACAATACATAAGTTTCCATTTTTATTTTTATTTTTATTTTTACCATATAATTAAACCGAAATACCTTGTAATTCCACTCCTTTCCAAGGATAATAACCTTGTCGATTCAATTCAGTAATCCATCTCAAAGTAGATTTCAACAATCCAGTTATCTCAACGGCAGCACCATCTCTAGGCGTTGCAGGTATTCCTTTATTACCGGCTTTTTCAGATTCGCCCATTTTATCCATCCAAGTACCACAATTAAATTCATTACCACCAAATAATAATCCGGTTTCCCAATCTACTTGAATATCAATTTGAAATCCTTTTTCTGTCATGGCATGATCCAAATTGGGACCTGCGTTCCATTCTTTAAAATGAATTCCTTTAGCATGTCTTTCCAAAATTTCTTGCATAATCTCTAATATAGTACTTTCATCTTTATAAGCTAAAGGATCATCTGCTTCAATAAATTCATCATTCTTTGGAAATCTTCGAAGAACAGATGTCTTAAGAAATTCTAATCCTTCAGATGAGAAGTTACAGTAATCTTGAATAGATTGAAGAAACCACCATGTAGCATCACGACAGTTATATCTTGGACGACGAGCAGCGTCCAATAAGTTTGGAATTAACCCATGTTTAAGTACACTAGCAAATCCAAGTATATGATCTCTTGCTGCATTATAATTTCCTGTAGTTATAAATAAACCACGTAATGAAATAAAAACATCACGTCCCCAACATCTCATATGCTTAAAAGTAAAATGAGGTAATCCGGCAGCCATTGATGGACCAGTCTTTGTAGGATGAAGACCAGTAGATAACACGGTACCATACACCTGTATAGAACATAATGCAAGTGATTGAATAAACGGTCCACCTTCTTGTACAAAAAGTGATAATTGTTCTAATGCACGTTTAGTAGCAGCTGTATATGTTGTTTTAATAACAAGTGCAAAATATTTAGGTATCAAGAAACTTGGTGCAGTTTTAATTGCATCAAACCTTTCTTTATACCATTGATTTAACTTTTTAAGTCTTGGTGCGATTTCTAAATAACTAAATTATAGGAAGAATTAGAATTTTTTTTGTTTTAGAAAAAAAGAATAACTTTATAGTTAATTAGTAATCCTTATACCTTTCAAGTCGATTTGCTACATAATCTAATGCCCAATGACCTTCACGTAAATTAGAACAAAATGGATGTCCCAAATTATTATGACTCATTATATTTCTTAATACCGACATAAAACCTTCTAAACCACAATATGGAAGATCTCCATATCCAGGAATATTATAAACACTATGACCAGGTACAACATCATTTTCTTCGCCAGCACATCGATATAATACAATATTTAAATCAACTAAATCCAATTCTTGAAAAGGTTCTTCAATATCTGATGTCAAAAATTCATCCAAACCATTATGTTGCTTAGATACTGATGTTTTCAATAATATAACACTACCTAAAGGAAATTCTTTTGGTAAAACAACTTCGGTAAAGTGACCATGATTATCAGTATCTTCACGTAAAATCGGTGTATTAAGTGATTTAAGAGAAGCAGGAAGTCCATAAAGATAATTTTTGTCTGGAGTAAATTCTTGAGGACGTACATCCAAACATGTAGAAAAAAGCAATTCTGCTTTAGTCCCTCTTAATTTTATAGGAGATACTATTCAAAAAAAAAAAAAAAAATAAAACGCTAAATATTTATTATGTGATTAAAGAAATAATATTTATAAATCTACTTACAATCACCATGTTTTATCACTGAATTAGAAAATGCACAATGTGCAACTAATAAATAACCTTTATGCGTATGAGGATGACATCTATGAACGACAATGTACTATATATAATAAAAGAAAATTAACTTATACGAAAAAAAAAAAAGCTTTTATAATCAAAGATTATTATACTAACTTCATTTTCATGATGCACATGAGTTTCATTATATCCATCTAAAGCCATTTCAGTATGTAAATGTTGCAACACCTTTTTAACTTTTTTTTTTTTAAAAAAAAAAAAAAAAAAAATGAAAATGAAAATTTGCTTTATCTTAATAAATTAAATATCTGATTAATATAAAAATTACCTCTTCCAATACCAATATCTAATGGTTTCTTATATATTGAGTAAGGTCTTGTTTCATTTACCAAATCTATAATTTTCGGATAAACTTCATCATAACCTTTAACACTACCAACAGCGCAGGCACTCATAGCTACAAGGGCACCATTTGATAAAGTGTCCTCTGCAATACGTTTTTGATGAGGGGTTTCATTATCATGAGTACAATCCATGAAAAGTGCATGTGGTTTTGATCCAAATACAGGTGTAACGAGACATGGTACGTCTAATTTTCCATTTGGACTTTTACAAGTAGATATATTGGTAATACATTCAGTATCCATAGAACCTTTATATTAATATAATTTTGTTAATTAATTTTATTAGACATTTCATATTTTAAAAAAAATTTATTTACCAATTGGTTTTGCTCCATGACGGTGAGCTAAACGACTTAATTCACGTGAATCCCACGCTTGCATAGCTTCTCTGATAAGTGAATTTATTCCAATACTGCTTACAAATTTGATATCCATTTCTTCTGAACCTGTGAATAATTCCGCAAATATATATAAGTTTGGACGAATCTGACGTGCCGCATCCAGAAGATATTGTGCAACATGAATTGGAGTAGAATGACAATTATCAATTCTAAATCCATGAAATAGCTTAGCAAGTTGGGTAGTATAATTCTTCATATGATCCCATAACCATGGCGAATCATCCTTTAAAAGAAAAATAATAAACCTTTTAGAAGTAATCAATAAAAATTTAATAACGTGTAATCTTTAATAACTTACTCTACATTTTCCATATCGTAACTTAACACAATCACCCCATACTATAACTTCTCTTCTTAAATAAGCAGATGATTCACTACTTGCAAAATCTTGTAATGGATTTGCGTTCCAAATCCAACCATTATTTGCAACAACTAATGCACCCTTTGGATGTTTCTTTGTACGCTCATTCAACGGAATTTGTGTAAAATAATGTTCAGCGAGAGTATACCTTCATAATATTAATATGAAATTCTTTTAAGATCAATTTCAAATAAACTTCAAATAAAATAAATAAAATAAAATCTAATCTTTACCTTTTATGAATTTCCCCATGCCTAGGACCATTAGGATCAAGTCGCAAGTACTTTATCCTATTCCATAAATTATCAAGAATAGTAGTGGCATCATCATCATACAAAATGTAAAAAGGCAAATTAATTTCATTAACAAGCCCCTCGAATTTTTTAACCATTTGTTCAATAAGTTCTAATTTGTCCTGTTTTTCTTTAACGTTTACATCCGATCCTTCACTTGAATTCTGTTTTTCTGTGACGTTGACAATCGATACTTCATTTGAATTCTTTTTTTTCGACTTGTCATCAACCGAATTTACAAATCTATCTATCTTCTTGACATCATCATCTGACAATTTCTTTGAAACTAGATTATAAGTTTTGGTTGGGTTATCATCCACTATAATACCATCGACACATTTATGATTTTTCTCGGATTTAATCAAACTGAGAACAAATGCAATTGAACTCTCGCAGTTTAATTTTTTATAAAATCTATGACCAAAGGTTCCTTTGTAATAAAGAGCCTTATCATTTAACAATTTTGCTTGCTCTTTAAGAGATAGGGCAGCAAGATCAATGTCTTCTCTAAAAGATGGCCACGGTTTGTTTAATGCTTCCTTAAACTCATTTACAGCTTCTTTAACATCTATGACATAGTATTCCCACAAGCGAAGTTTATTAATCACGTGTTCTTTAATACCGTCGACAATTAAATCCAAATCTTCCTCGTTCTTAATCAATGTTGGATACCCCAAATTAGCAAGATTAGAAGAAAATTCAAGTAATGAAGCATCAAGTTCATAAGCAGGAGTTAAATGAGGCGAATTAATCAAGTTATATCCTAAAATTAAAAATTAAAATTAAAATTAAAAATGATGGTTGGAAATATTGGTATAATCATAAAAGAAATTAATGTGCAATTTATCATATACCAGCTTCGGGATGTTCTTCAAGCCAGCTACTATTACAAGCAGTATGATTCCAAACAATATCAGTCACACTGAGAATACCATATTCTTGCTCAATTTTCTTTATTGTGTTTTGAACAATTTCAATTCTTTCATTGGGATCCTTCAAAAGATCTTCAGGTTCGAATAAATCATTCGAAAATGATAATTGATCAAATATGGAGTAAGGTGAATTAGACAAACCACGCATTTGCATTGGTACAAAATGAATCATATTATATCCGAGATCGGATATAGCTTTAATGTGAGGATCCCATTCAGAAAGTTTTCCTAGGAGTTTAGGTAGAACTGATTGAATAACTATCCCATCGAGTGGAAGTGCAACTGCTGGCTCCGAAGAAATTGGCTCGGATGAGAGTATTCGATGTCGTGGAATGATATGTAAAAGCGGATCAACCGTAAAATAACTTTTTTCAGATGATTTCGTCAACTTTGAATTTAATTCTTTATATTCCACGTAGAATTCATATGCACCTGATCTTTGAATGACTATGTCGATATTGAGAGGTCTCGTGAATTCAATCGGAAACCTATTATTAAAGTTTAGTTGGAAGATCAGAAATTGTAATTCATGGGAAATGAATGAATACTGATTAAAATATTAAATGATAAAAAAGAAAAAAAAAATGGCGGCTGAAAAAAGAAAATTTTTTTTTTTTTTTAAAAAAAAAAAAAAAATATTTATTTTAACTTAATAAATTAAATATAAAATTATCAACTATGTTATCACTTTTTAACATTTAAGCCTATGAAGCAAAACATCAAAATACTTTATGGAAGTATCATATCGGCTGATTGAAAAAAATTGGGGCAATTAATATTTAAGCTCAACTGATGGGTTCATTATATAACTGATACAGAAATACTAATAAAATTAAGGGGATCTTTTCCAATCAGCCAATATGTTATAACTAAAATAATGGATCAAATCAAAATTTTAAATTTTTTATTTAACAGTATTCGGATAAAAAAAAATCCAAAATCAATGTAATTGTTGAGATGCAATTTTCTGTCACCGCCAGCCATTTTTTCTTTACGCAATTTTTATTATACCTCACTGAATGAAATTTGGCTCTATCGAATTCTGAGCTATATTCGAGATTAAAATGAATAAAATTAATCAATTGACCTCAGAAATAAAAAGAAAATTGTATAATTGTATGATTGAAATTGAATTACCCATCGATTGGATAGTTAATGTAAAGGATTCCCCTGTGAGAAGCTATCGAACCGGCACGAACGTTAAATCGTAATATATAAGGACTAACAGGTGGTGGAAGTCTTATATATTGTTTTTCTTTGCTAAGTGATCCATCGGCATCTAGTTCAAGTCGTAATACATTGATTAATTTAGTTTGACTTTCTTTCCTTTTAGTCATTTTTGAGATTAAGGAAAACACGAATCAACAATTTTTTTATCAAAAAAAGTTTTTATATAAAAATGACGAAAATTTCACATGGGATCGGCAGCGGGTTTCTCTATTGTTACACGATACTTTATTATTTTTTTACGTTTTCTCTCTCCGTGAAATAATTTACGTATGCTATTGCGCACAAATGATCAACGGAATAAATACAACTCATAAAGGTTGCTAGTCATGAAGTAATTTGCTCACTATAGATCTTTGTATTTAGGAATGATCCAACATATCGATCCAAGTAAATTTATTCTCCACAAAGCAAGTTCTATGACTGCTTTATCTTTTACCGAAGTCTTGAAAAAAGAAAAGGAAGATAATAAGGATTATGTACTTCGCTTGCCTATGATTCCTTTGAGTAATCACACTTATGGTTCATACGTCTATCTGATAGCAGCAATACGTCATAAACATATAGCATACATGAATTAAAAAATTCCCTCGGTCCCATCCACTCATGTCGTTTGTGCTCAGAAATGAAAAATAACCGGTACGTAGACGAATTAATGACTTTACTTGTTCTCTGATATTAAGCCTGCGAGAAGGTGGGATTTCAGGATGATTAAGTCAGTAACAGGATATGCTATGCAAAGATTCGATTTTAAGCATTTCGGGCATTTATTATATTATAATTATTGCTTGCTTTAATCATAAAATCTTTATATAAATTCAAGGAAACCACATTAAATTGTAATACAAATAAACAAGACGAGTATATTTTATCCGCTGATATTACATGAATTAATTAAATGTCCACCCCATTTATCAACCTTCTTATCATGTTTTCCAGTTTCGGAAAATTCTTTTAAAGCTTTTTACGATGACTCTATTGCTGTATTGTCAGAACCTAAAGTTGCGTTATCGATAATGAATTTTTTTGTATTCTTTATAATGATGAACAATATTTGGCCACCATGCATTATTGGTTTTGGTTTATGCCCTAGTTGAACATGAACACATACCGAATGAATATTTGTTTATATAAAAATATGTCCGTACCTAAACTCTCTCTACCTTGAGACAAGTTAGCATACAAATCAACGCTTTCAATAGTTCATTGAGATTTCCTGGTTTTCGTAGTGGTTCCAAATTAAAACTATTAGAAAAAAAAAATTAATAAAAAAAAAATATTTTTATTTTATAATTAAATATTATTTTTTTAGTGGCATATTCCATTATTTTGCTATATAAATTGTTAGAACGTATCAATAACCGGGGAAGTTTGTTCATACTTACATATAACGTAAACAATAGTTCCATTTGGTCGTAACAATGTAATAAAATCTGGTGTATCTCTTGCGGGGCACAAATTTACTATAGTAGGCAATATACAGTCCGCGACATAAATATCCGGAATTTATCGCGACAAATAAAAAAATTGTAAATCTTATTTTATTCGTTTCAT